TGAATTTGACTGGCTCCACCACACACAGGAAATTTCTGTTTGTGTTTGCATGCTCAGCACTTTTCTACATGGTCTTTCCAATAGTGTGCCCTTTGATGGTGGCGACTCCACACTGATCAATGAGCTTCTATCAATATTTTTAGCCGCTCCGCCCGCCTGCATTGTGTGTCTGTTTTCATTCTCGTCCATCTCGCCATCAATAAGAAACAAATTATAGATGAGTTTCCAGCCTCAATCTATTTTATCTTAATGATTATAAAGTGTGCAATTTACCATGTTACATTATGCATATAAATGAACATGGCCCACTTTTTCATCGTCTTTATAAGACCCGGAGAGACGTACAAAGCAAAGATAGGACTCTAAACTTTTGACACTAAAGCAGAAAAGTTCACTGGCTCTGTGAAAATGTCTGTGAGGAAAACCTGACTGTCTTGTTGGTCCATGTGTCACAAGTTGCATGGGCCGAGGTAAACACAGGATGACACCTGTCACAGAACCAAAGCTAGCCAACAAGCTAACTCACATCTCTGTCCATCTATCAGTGGCTATCTGTCATATGTCATCTAGGTGAAGCCAGGACCCAGTGCAGAGTCCTTTCTGATGATATCTTTATGATGTTGATGTTATTAGTCACACAGAGCAGCAGGAAAACAAGAAATTGTGTCCAGTATAGTGTAGTATACTAGTTATGCTATTTTTACTGAGATATATAGTATATTAGTAGAGCTATATTGGTCCTTATCATGAGAAATGTATGGTGGAAGATCAGATCATCTTAACATGAGACCTAAAACCCATGAACTAAAACCTGCTGTGTCTCACATAGAGGCTGTGTGTCTTGTGTGAACTTGGGATGCTTCACATCCTTGGATCTCCGTTTTAGACAAGGCCGTTTATGAACCCCACTGAGAGGTTCAAACGACAAGGTGACAGCCACTGTGGGTGTTTAAGACCACAACAAAAGAGTGGGTCACGTACAAACCGCCATCACCGACCACTTCATGGTCATCACATTCACCTCACACAAAACCTGTACTTAGGAGTAACTCTTAAGGAACACTGCAGCCTGCCATGCACTCTGTGTACGCTGAGCAGTATATCACTGTTTGTGTATTTTGATGACAACTGCAGTTATTAAAACATTAATATACTAATGGAATATAACATGCTTGATGAACATTAATACATACATGTTCTGACTGTACTTATTTAAGTGAATGGGTTTAAATGAGTTCGCACACACACCCCAGTCTCCCATCCACGCTAAACTTCACAAAGGATCATATCCACTCAGTGCCAGTGCACATACACACCTACGGTACGTCATTTTCTCTGACATTTCCAACCCACATTACCTGCATACATTAGAAAGCCTCTGTGATGTTAAAATTACACATTCATACATTTGAATAATTCAGATTTTTAAAAGCTCTACACTCACTCACTGTTTTTCAGATAGAGGGCGAACTATTCACTTCAAATCACATTTGAATAAATCCCATAAAACCTCTCAAAATTCCCCGAGATAAACCAATCAACCCCTCCCCTCAACCGAATTGGCCAATCAAAATTAACATTCATATACTCACAAAACCTTCATTCAAAATACACGAGAAGTAAATCAAATTCCAGGCAATATTTGTGAAGCTCAATTTGGTTCTGATAAGAAAACTGTGCCTAATGGAGAGGATGTTGGGATAAGGCAGCCCGCTGCATTGTCATAATGCAATTCTAAACAAAACAAAGATCTTTGATGGAGTAAACAGTGTGCCTTTAGATCACACTTGATTATATTTATTCAGTAGAAAAGCAGAGTGAGGAGGCTGCAGGGTGATTATAAAATGAAATGGTCTACCTGGTCTGCTTGCACTGTACAGGGGGTTTATGGACTTGTGCTTGAAAATATGCTGCAGTGAGTCAGATCATTTAGCTCAGTGTATGTTATTTGAAGTAAATATAAAACATTAAAACATTAAATGTTTTGTTCAGTGAAACATTTACCTTTGCAGACTGTGCCCCACATAACAGTGAAACCTACACCTTTCCTCTTTTATCAACAGTATTTGCGTCTGTCCTGATCTGGGCATGCACATTGTGATGAGCAGAAACCTCCAGTTCCTCTTTTTCTGTTTTCAAAACAAGTACTAACCGTCTTTGTCACTCAGATTTCCTGGGTTCTAACGGATCACACAAGTCCTTATTGACCTAAACTTCTTGCTTCTTGCTGCACATTTTACAGGGTTTTCTATATTTTGATGTATCATGTTTTACATAATATATAATAATAATAATATAGAAAGTTTTGATATTTCTCTTTTAAAAATGTGCAATAATGTCACATGAAATTCACACTGAATCCAAAGCTGTGTCAAAAAGACTTCGCAGGTAAATGATCCACTTAACATCTTTATTCTGGACATACGCGTGGACCCAGACTTGTGACCTTTCTCAAAGGGTATGTGCATCATGAGCCCTTCCTGCCACTCACACAGCAGCTGGTGAAAATGCCCTTGACTGCCCACCCCGAGGCACTGCGGTGCTATGGATGCAGCTGTTTAAAGACTTCTGCGTGTGGTTGGGTAAGCCATGCCCTTGCCAATGACATGTTGTTTATTTCAACTAAGCTCAATAAGATATGAAAATGAGAACTGGTCACTGAGCCATCTCAGGGGCAGTAGTAGATCCACAGTAAGACCTAAAGGCAGTAATGCAGGTACTCTACAGGGACAATAAACTATACTTATATTGTCCAATCTTAAAGTGGTTGACCACTGTGTGCATCTAATTATAAAGTGTTTTATTATCATAGAATCTAGAAGTGCGTTGTTAGCATGACAGTTGAAATAGACGGCAAGACTCCAATCTGTCCTCAAGCCGTGAAATGTGCTTATAAAATCAATGTCGTGAATAATTATGATGCGGTGTCTGTTTAAAACAAACTAGTTGTGTTTTTTACTAAACCTCCATAAATTAGTAGTAGAGCCCGACCGATATATCGGTTGGCCGATATTATCGGCTGATATGGGTAACTTTAGGCATATCGGCTATCGGCTGATATGCTTGCTGATAGAGGCCGATATTTCACGTGGGCATGTTATACCTCGTTATAAAGCTTAGACTCTCTACATTCTGTTCATTTAATCCAATTTACAGACAGATAAATGTCCTAATATGTGGCTCCACATCAGTATTTATCTACGGAGTCATTTGTCTGTGTCCTACTGTCCCTGAACACACCACAGAGTCGCGTCACTCACGTGTTTGTTTACACCTGCAGACACAGATCCAAACACTGAGATTATATTCTTTTTACGGACAATCGGTTTGAGTCTGGATTAAAAGGTCATTTATTAGTGCAGATTTGTGATGTGAGGAGGAGCCTGTATGAGCGGTGAGTGCTGGAAATATGTCGACTCTGAAGCTAGTTTTTGTCATTTGTTATGGGTTAGCTGCTGTAGCTCCCGCACATAAACAGACTGTTTTCTATTGGTCTGTTCTAAAGTGACTATATTGGCCGTATATTTGCTACTGGACCTGCATTGATATGTAAATGAGCTGTGAATAGAGGTGTGAATTATGACATTTGCGCATATAATTAATTACCGCGGAGCGCACGTATTTACGGCTAAAGGCTAATAGCGCTACTTTACTAGTTATGGGTCCGTCGCGAACGAAATGACTCTTAGAACCGGCTCTTTGAAGGGAACGACGGGAGCCTGATCCTTATTGGGAGCCGTGTTTTCTCTTTCTCTCACTTTTTTTCTCTTCACGCCGCGTGCAGACTCGTGGTTTGACAGCGGCAGCGGCTAAAAACGAAACTTTGAGAAATTTGCGTGTGCGTAGGATTTAAAAAAATAAAAATTAAAAAACGAGCATATTTGACTGTAGTTTAGCATAAAATAAATAAGTCCCGGTTTAGTCCTTTTTCAGTCCTGGATTAGACCTGGTTCAGTCCTGATTCAGTCCTGCTTTAGACGTGCTTTAGTCCTGCTTGCAACAAAACAATCTGAAGAGACACTTGGGAGCCAAAAGAACCAGCAGCTTTTAGTGAGCCGAGCCAAAAGTGCCGGTTCTCTAAAAAGAACTGGAATACCCATCACTAGTGTCTAGAATGTGATGCAAAAATGCCATTAAGCCAACCTACTGTCTGTAAATATGATGTAAAGAGGCAGAATAACAATAAATGTTGCCTAAATAAACCCAATTTAAAATCCACCAGAGCCAAACCTAAGTTTTTTAAACAATTTAACATTTACAGTGAATTTTTACATCACTAAATATATCGGCGATTATATCGGCTATCGGCAGCTCCAACTCCCATTATATCGGTTTCATATCGGCCACAGCAAAATCCATATCGGTCGGGCTCTAATTAGTAGTTTATTAAGGTGCTGTGACAACACCTTTTCTGTGTGTATATAAACCAATCTTGTGGTAAACCTATGAAGTAAATTGAAGTTGGCACAACTTGAGAATGAAATAGATGAGCATATTGAGATAGGATTTGTCTTATCTGTGCATGAGCCTGCCCTTGACTGACCCGCCCGGGGCTTTAACAGAGGCATGGCCTGCTGAGCAGAGGAGATGCTGGGAGTCTATTCTTAAGGAACAGATGCCAGGGCAGGACAGCTGTTCATTTGGCATCCATCTAAAGCCAACTGGCCGGACCCTCTACCCAGGAACAAAACATCAACATGTGATACTAAACCGACTGCCCTGAACAGAACATAGGCCCACACTAAAGACACAGTATTTAAACAATTTAAATTTCCAATACAGGTTGCATTTACATTCCAAGGTTTGTTTGCAGGAAGTGTCTTTACTGAAATTCCTATCCATTCTATATTACTTTTGCAAGTTACTACTACTACTACTTACTATATCACTAATTACCAACTACTGTTAAGGCGACAATACAAAATGTTCAGCAGAAGGTGTGAGAATATTCAATAATATGTAAAACAACAAACCAAGGAGAACAAGTTGAATGTACTTACCCTGAAATGACTGCCTTGCCCTCTCTACCAGCTCTTCTATGGGGTAGCTGGCTAGGTCTCCTCTGGCATGTTTCGTCTTACAATAAGTGCACGCATTCAGACATCTAAACAAAGAAAACAAAGATACTCAGCTGTGGAAGGTGAACTGGAGCAAATACCAAATACCAGTATTTTCAATTGCATAAATAAATATAAGTGTCCATTCTCATCATGTACCACTATAACCAGTCATGAGTAAAAAGTTGTTTAGAGTAAAAAGTAGTTTAAAGCAAAAACACAACCTTATACTCAAAAGGGCATTCCATCCAAAAATATGTGACCACCTACTATGACTCATTATTAACACACTCATGCTCCAACATTAAGCCAGAATAATCAGTAAATCCTATTCTTTCATCTATGGTTGGATGAATTTGAGAAAACATAATCTAATACTACTTTCTGCTTTTGCACCTATAGAGTATAAGTATTACTGTACATTGTTACAAAAAGTTTCACTGTAGTTTGAACTTGTAAATTATACAGAGTTTTCTTATCAGTCACAAAACATGTCACAACATCTGTACAGAAAGTCCTGTTCCCCCTCCATTACTGCCCTCAGAAGGCTGCACCGCTCCAATATATATCTTCATTATCAATTTGAAATACAACCTACGGCCTGGGGCATTTTTTATGTTACCCTGGAAAAGAAAAGCTGAATACGAAAATGGAATTTACAGCATCCATCTATCCATCTATTGGGCCATCTTTCCCCTCTAAGGGTATTGCCTATCCCGGCTGAGGGCACTAAAGATGGCAGCTAGGTCACAGGAGCTCGGTGTGGAGAAAACACGGACAGATGGGGCCCCCGCGTGCGCGCCCACACACACGCACGCACCACCAGGGGGTCCATCCATCTTAATGTGATCAGGCCCAGCTGAGTGGATCACACCAACATTAATCTCAAGAGACAGTCAGTGGCCCCGGCTCGGTTTTGTGCAGAGGATGAGTGCTGTGTGCCTGTGTGTGTGTGTGCAGTGTCTGTAACAATTACGAGTGTGCATGTTTTTGTGTGCGTATATTTTGTGTGTGTGCATGGTCGTATGAGGTATGACCATTTGTCCTGTATCACAACATCGTATTAGCAGTTTCGACCCCTTCAGTCATCAGAAATAGACTGTGACAACAAGTCAGCAGCTACAGACAAGTTGTGACTGAAGAGCAGCACTGTTATCCATAGACAGAGATGAGTGTGTGCCGGTTAAGGATAACCCAACCACAATGTTCTGTTTTTTTGTTTTGTATTTCAATATATAGAATGGTCAAATAGGTCAAAACAAGTAAGGAACCAACAGGGGTATGGTTCCACTCTATAAGTATTCATTCTGCCTGGGTCTCATTACTAAGATATTATTAATAGTACAAAGGTAAAGACAGTTCCCTACTATCCAGAAAGAAAGTTTACAATCAAATTTTCAATAACAGCACAGCATAGTTGTAGTTTGTTTAGCTTTACTGATCTTCATCTAGGGTTGTCAAAACAAATCAAATAAACCAATATCCTGACACTAGCACATAAGATGTCAAAACTAGTTAAGCAATGGTCCTGTTTTAAATCAAAACTGGTATAAGACCACATAGTAATATTTATGATGACTGTGTTCAATAATATTTTCTATGGCCAAAAAATAGTTTTTATTATCATTGTAGCATCAAAATCAATCAAAATTAACCTTGAAATTTAAGTGTCTTAACAAAATTGTTGTCTGTTGCCTTTATGAGCATTGTGTGATCAAAGGTGAAAAAAAAGGCAAGAAAGGATGCCCAAGAGGACATATCTAAAAATGTACAGTATAGATTTTCCAGCTAAACCCATTATGAAGCAGAGTCCTCCCTGCCTTTGTCTTTGGTTCTGTCTCATCCTTGTTTAGCACAGTTAATTAAACCACAGAGGTAGCAGTTGTACCTGACAACAGTATAGTTCATCAATATCAATAGCAGCTGCCTCTTTGGTCCCTGGTGTGGCTGTGCATGTGCGTAAAACAGGGACAGTTGTGTGAGTAGCCTTGGAAATGTAAAAGAAAGGAGAGCCTGGAGGTTCTCTATACATTTGTAAGGCTACACACACGTAAGGCTGCACTGTTTGGTCCCATTGGAGAAGGTCCCTTGTTCAACATCTTAAGAGGCACAGATTGAGAGCGAGTTTGAGGCTTTTCTCAATAATAGGCATTTAGGGTCTAGACATTAATTAGAAAAATGCCCTCCGCACATAGAAGCCAGCCAATGTGCATCGACTTTGTGCTGCCTGTGTTCTTGGGGATTTGTTATGTACCGACCTGAAGACGCAATTATAGAAAACAAAGCTTAAACTCAACTTTAAACAAATTGTAAAGCACTGCTAATACTTCTCATCTTATGGGTGAGGAAGCATAGACAATGCTGGATGTGAATGAACATGAGCTAAGCCTGCGACTGTACAAATAAGGTCATTGCAAAGTCAAAGTGGAGGATGAAAATGTGGAGTAGACAAATAAAAGTGGCACAATATGAGCAAAGGGGCTAGAGGACAGAAAGCACTTAATGACTGGAAGGCTTGTTTATGATCTGAGCCAACCAGTGTTAGTGTGTCCTAATGCAGCTGGGACCACACCACCGCGGACCCCTCAATCCAGCCTTTGTATCTGACCCCTTGAGTTCTATGTAGTTTCTATTCAGACTGTTGTGTCTTTAGAAGATCTGTCGCGTGTCAGCTTTGTATTTCTATATCTAGCACAGTGGCTTGTTGTCTGGACTAGAGTGGTGCAAGCACGGGACAGTATTATGCATATGAAACCACAAAAATCCTGTGTTTTCCCAACTTCTTGTTTTTATTCTGACTGAACCATGAGGCAGTGTTTTTTCTTAGATCACTCAGTTGTATTAATAGATCATTCTGATTATCTATCTGATATCTGATGTAACCACGGGCAAATTTCAAATTAGTTTGCTAATGGATTTAAGGCCTTATTGACCATAATTCAATTCACTTTTAATTTACTAATTAGAGTAACTCTTATGAGATATTGAGCTATTGTTAGAATTTTGATTTTTTATTTAATATATAAACTATTAACAAAAATACTAAATATTTGTATAGTAAAATAATGGTATGATATCACTGAAATACAAATCTAAACATGCAAATGAACATGTAGCTTTACCACTAAATACATTACATCTTAAAAGACACCCCGTTATGAACTCTTGAATATGAGATTTATTGCCCATTCAGACTAACTAAAGCTGATTTAATTAGCAACATTTGAGGCATTTATATTTGAGAAACGTCTTTATGTAAGAAGATCTGTTGGGATTCATTTGTGTCCATTTGTCTTTGTGGACACATGTTTGAGCGAGACACAGCGGCTAATTCACTTACACTGGAGATCTGAAGTGTAATGTCTTTTAATGAGACACAATCTTATTTTGACCAAGAAGACGCATCAATCTTTTGGATTTGTGGCCAATGCAGAGTCTCCCGGCGAGAGTGTGGGGGTAAACCATGCTTGGAGTGCGAGTGCGTGCGCGATAGGCATGTTTTTGTGTGTTAAGCAGTGGGAAAGAGGGGAATGGAATAATATGTTCAGACCAGTGGAGCTGAAAACTACCCATACATAGATTTGATAAACAGCGGGAAGGCCACTGTGGCACGGAGAGGTGTGTGGCTGTCTGCATATGATCGTGTTTGTGTTGAGGATAAAATAGAAAAAAGGCAATGGGAATTCTTTTGTGGAGTTGGCGTGATGGAGTCTAAATAAAAAGGCACTGTGTGTATATTGTGCATTGATGCATCTTCCAATCCGCGGTACATATGGACGTGATCAGAAAGCCTTGTGTCAGAGCAGCCTACTCTCGCTGCACTATCATTGACTTATCTTTGTTCCAGCTATACATGTTTACTGAATGATCATAACATGAGATGGGATCAGTGAACAACAATAAACAACATAAAAGTCAAGTACAACTACATTTCATTTATATTATAGCTCCTTCTTATTACAGGAAAATGGATGGCGGGCGATAGATTGAGGTAAGTCACTATTTAAGTTTAATGGTTAGGAAATGGTTAGGGCCCTGTGGTAGAGCATTTGCCCAAATTGGCATCAAAGCTAGGAGTCGGTACAGAAAAAAAAAAAAAAAATCAATATACATTTTTTTGTAGGCCAATCACGATTTTGATTTTTTCACGATTCACATGTTGGTTGATTTAAAGTATTTAAAACCACAATCAAATTCCCTATAGATGGAGATGTATAGGTACGCAAATTGCAGCATCTATCTTGTTCAAAAAGTGTACACCTGTTTCTCCAACCTACTATTTTTATCAGTCTTACAGCACTTGTTACTAACTTTTGCACATGTTGGCAAAAACTGCCCTGTTTGCATATTCATTCACTCATAGGAGCAAAACTGTGCTGCGTCTTTTTTAGAATCTAAAAAATTGCATTGGGTTTTTCTACACTTTTAGTGTGTATTTAGCTGTTTAGCCATGTGGCTGTTAGTATTTTTATGTTACCTTGTAGAGGTAACTAAAGTAATTTTTTCTTCTAAATTTTCACACTTCATTGCAATTGGTTAGACTTACTGAGGCTGACAAATATGAAGAGATGGTGAAAAAATGTCTTTATTTGAGCATACATCTGAAATCAAATGAAAATCTGTAAATTACGATATATTGATTTTACCAAAATAGTGTATAGTCCATGTATATATAACTAGACATAGCCAATGCGCTAGCTGCCGCATTCCAGATAAGAATGCAGGCTGTTCCGGCTTCTACTCACCATGGCTCCCATTGACTTAGATTCGAACATTATGACCCTTCTCTCTGTAACTGTTGCTGTGAGCCTTGTCATTTTGGTCTCTACATGGTCCTTGTGTTTTTTAAGTCCTTTTCATAATATAAAGCCTGGCTCCAAATTCGCCCCGTGACGGCTAGTATCACGAGCTTCATTTGAGTGGCGCCAAATGCTATGGGTCTCTTAGTCCACACTCACTTAGACAACTTCTTTAAACAGTCTACAGTATAGTCATGTAGTCATAGTGGAATGAGATCACTTATTTGATTTTTAGCTTCAATTTGCCCAGTCATAACCCATGTTAGTCTACCCAAAGGCAACTGTGGCTACAGAAGTAGCTTACTACCAGACTGAAGAAAGAATGAATGTGCATAATTGAAAAAAAATCTGGATACTATTTTTGCTTCAATAAATGAAAACAATAGTAGATTTTGCATTATTTCCGCTAAGCTAATATTTTCCAGGGACAAAACCTCAAGTTGATGAGTCCTGTTGTTTCAATGTTTTGGCAAAGTGTTGAGAATTTGTCACAGGCGCACACAAATCAGAGGAAACACAAAAGCCTGAAAGACCCGGGGCCTCGCTGTGACTGAAAGTAAACACATTGAAAACGAGCACAAACACACCACACAGCCTTTGACTCTCGAGGCCAGTTTACACAGTCTGTGCATGTCACCACTTTAGTTACAGTGATGAGACGTGAATGTAAAACTCAAGGATTTAGCTTGGATAAAGAGGTCTCAAATAAAAGGCATTCTAATTTTAACCAATAGTGTAAACAGAAAATTAATGTTATTCGACTTGGGTAAAGAAGTCAAGTCATTTGTGTTTCAATGTATTAAAACGCTCTTCAAATGGCAGACAATGGCATTGGGCTGTATTCAGTATAGCTCAATGGTCAGATTAAATTGGCTTTCCTTCAAGTAGATAAATTTGTTACTATCTGAGTCAGAAGGTGAAACACACAACAGGGACATGAATAGAATCTGAACAAAGGTTAAAAAAATAATAATACTGCACTGGCTCCAAGGTTAGACTTCAGATTCTGTGGATACTTGAGGCCAGCAACTTTGAAGAATTTTGTAAACTCTTTTTACACAAAGCCAGAACTAAATCTTTCAATGTCATTTCCTTTCAGAGTTAACCGCTTTAACGCCAAATTCTACTTTAAAATCAAACACAATAATATATAATGGAATCCAAATTACACGACTGAAGCTGTGAAGCAAACATAAACCTCTGAACCAACAAAAGATGTCCCTCACACCGTGAACATCACTTTTGCAACACCGATATCTTTCTGTAGGGAAAAAGAACAGAGATTTTACCTGTTACTAAACTTTATGGTGTATTGTGCAGTGCAGTATCCTTCAGCAATGCAATCACATACCATATCTACTGTGTTATAAGTCTCTCTAGAAGGTAGCTTTTCAGATCGGTGGATGATTCCCATTGAACGAGGTCTATCACAATAACAAATCTTGAAGAGCGATATATAGCTGAAGAAAATGTAGATTACTTTAACAACTTTATGCCACCAATAACAAAAAGCAGAATTATCCCTCAAAAATATTTTAAATGTACAATATAGAAAAGAATGAAACACAAATTTGTTTACTTGTTCAACCCTAAACTGCTCCAATTATATTGTACAAAAACAAAACAAAACACTAGCACAAAGAAAGTGTACATGCAATACATTGTGCTTTCAAAAATACTGTTACAGCTTTCATACATTCAACGACAAGTCAATACATTAATTATTGTGACTACACTGAACTGTATCAACTAAACAGTATATTATGATCCAAAAATATGCATGCTGCCATTAGAGCATGTAATTTGATATCCTGCAAGCATTTACTATATTGTGTTTACTATTGATAATGCGATAAAGCAACTGCTTTATAGTTGTATAGTCATAGTTAAATCTCTACTTGTATGTAATATAGAGCATTGTAACCATGGACAAAAATCTGAGCAAACAGATAAACAAAATATAATAACATAAGTGTTGAGTAAATATGTTAAAAACAGAAAATCCTCCAGTCTAATGGACAGAGTTCACACAAGCCGAACCAAACTGTAGCAAATGCACAAGTTTAATGACCCGTTTTCACTCAATGGCCATAAATTCTCTCTTTATGATGCACAACCATCACAAATAAAAGCATTCACAAAGGAGCTTTTACTGCTGTGGACAGACACACAAATATAGATATACGCAGAGAGAGTGAGACTCAGCTATTAGAGTAGCCTTGGGCAGCACATACCAGCCAGCTTCCCTAATACTATTAAGTGTGCTAAAATAGAGCAATGAAACACTGCATTTGGTTCTGTCCCTGTCCAACTGTGGGAACAGATAAAAATGATCAGTGCTTGGACATTCCCATGAAAAAACAAAACTGAAAGACACACTATAAGCTGGCGAGAACATAGTCACGCCTCAATTATTTTAAATGCGTTAGAAGGAAAGACGATGTTTCAGTAGTTCAGTTCAAGAGAAAATATAAATTATTAGATTATAGAATTATAGAACCCAGTACAGAGAAGAGAAAATTCTTAGAAATGTAATCACTAATGAAAAAATGACAGTTCTGGCACTATACAAGTAACTTGGAAAAAAACTGCAAAATAAATTATACCAGATTTTGTTGCAACTGTAAACTTAAAATGGGGGAAAAAAAACATATTATTGTACATTTGTGTCCATAGATTTCAGCTTCTGGTTATGAACAACATTTTAAGGATTTCGAAAACTATACTGAGTTGTTGATCACTATGGCCACCTTTGATGTGAGGGCTACATTAGAAAAACTCCCTACAAAGACCACATTCATTAAAACATGAACACAAACAGACAAACAAGTCAGCATGTGAGTATTAACCATGAACCCTGCCATATTCGCAACACAAGTGACAATTTACACAAAAGTACATGTTAAGCATGGATTATTCGCAACAAGACAGCGTTATTGGGAGATTTGTCAGCAGTCAGTTCCCCCAGTCAAAGTATTTGCGTAATCCGCTGCTCTAGAAAAGACTTCATATTAACACAGTAAAAACAAAAGGATTTGGCAGTGCCCAGAATCAACCACTGCAAAAACAACTGGATCAGATAGAGACCCCCAGCTGGCAGAGACCTAAAATCACACGACAGCAACACATGGTTGAAATAATTAAGGTGCAGTTCTAGATTATTTTTCATGGTATCAAAATTAAGATTGATGATATAATTTATGGCATGAAGCGTGTCTATAATGGTTAAAATTCCAAATTTCATATCCAAACGTGTTCCTGATTAGAGTAACAAAGTGCAAAGAAAGAAGAACAATTGCATGTTTAGAGAGCCACTAGGATTTTAAGTTTGTCTGTACAGTTGTCCAACACAATACAAGAAGCTTTTGTGTGACACTAAAAAATCATCAAATCTAAAGCAAATATACATTAGATATGGTGAGCCACCTCTTCCAACTTCAAACCAAGTGAACAGCAAATCAGATAACAGTCAAATTGCTTTGTTCATTTCTCAAATGCAAAAGATTCCTACTGAATTTCCTTGTATTATTCAGAAGAAAGCCTAACTTTATAGTGTTAAGTGTTCTTTTTGTCAGGGACTCCCTAAAAACCCGGCATTGTGGCCATGGGTGGGTGACTTAGGACTCTAATGAAACTATAGCAACCTACTTTAAAACAGTGCTTTCCTATTCTCCTGAGCCGCCCAGTTAAAAAAAAAACACACTTTTTGACAAAGCAAAATTTGAATTAAAATTATGACAAAAACATTCAGTTTTACTTTGACTTTCCATTGACGCATCAGAAACACCATCTTCCCCAAACAGTTATGCCAGACAATAGGCACTTTGTGTTAGTGGTTGGGTTGGCAATGTAGTTTTTTGTTAGTATGTTTTTTACAGTTAGATTAAGATTAGGATAAACCTCAGGATTAGGTTTAGGAAAAAACTTGGCTGGCCAAGCAACCTTTAAGACAACACTTACACTTAAAGCTATAGAACTTGTATAGTCATACAAGTCAGCTATTAGTCTTGTACAATCTTGCATATAGTAATAAGATAGGAAAGTAACAATAAATGTAGTTTCTTAATGACTGCAAGTGCAAACTCAGTAGGCAGCTATATTACAAGCAGCAGCTTATTGGTTACATAGCATTTTACCCCCAAAGTCCGAGTGTTCACTAATGGCAAATCCAATTAAATGTAGAAAATGTAGTGCATTAAACAGACAAGGCCTGACGCAGACATAATGGCCGTGTAATGTCTTGCAATTATACATGATAATGAGTAAGAACATGAGCCTATTAGCCAACTAAAAAGCTTTGGTTCAATCTTGTAACCTATAGCGGTACAAAAGAGCCACTGTGTCTTTAACTTGGCTCTCTGGAAAATAACGCAGCGGACCTTAAAGATGTCCCACGACGATGATTGATGGATTATCATCAGCAGAGCCCTATAGCTGGCTGAAATTAGTCTGCTGTAACCCTTTTAACTAGCCTACAGAGAGTACAGGTCAGTGGAGACGCACACATCTGTAAACAACATAAAATTAGCCCATAAAGTGTATCCCCATATTATGTATCTGTAAACATCAGTCATGCTGTTTCATAGGATTCATCAAACTGGAGTAATATGACTCTGGTGGAAAAAAGCAAAGGTTATTAAATATTCATCTATTGCTAATATTGAGGGAAGATTATACTAAGAGTGAAACCATGGTGATAATTAAAATCTGCTGACTTCATGAGAAATGCTTAATAACTCTGGTTTGAGGATAAAAACAACGATTGGATTACAGTGGTGTCGCTCTGCAATAGAAAAGATAACTTATATTTTGAGAGAGAAAAAGGATTTGAAATGGTTTCGGGCCTTTTCTTCACTACAGTAAATGGAAAGATTGGATCTGTCAGAAAGTGTTGAGAAAAGAAGGTACAGAGCCTAGGGAAGAGTAATTGTACAATTACTCAAACAGGATGTGTTTTTCCTTGTGTTTTGATCCCCATCTTCTATACTGTTTACTTCTGTTGTTTTTGTTTTCTTATGTGTCATGTTTAGAGCAAAATGGAGTAATGATGTTATTATGTAAGAAAAACAATTACAAGCATAAATTTCTTGTGAATGAAACATCAAGATAATTTCCTGCTTGTTGTGTGTTGTTGTAATGTTTTAATTAAATATCTTCATCTTACCCTGTATTAATGGAGATTATTTCAATGAGAGGGTTTTTCCTGATCTTGGGCAGGTCTAGTCTGGCCCCTCCCAGTCTTCGCCCTCCATCTTTTTTCTGGCCCAGCAGACGAACTGAATGTCCTGTAAACAATATAACGCATTAGAATATAAACCGACATTATCTCTTTCCAGCAAAGCACTGAAAGGTAAACCACCAAGTATTTGTGTAAAAACAAACAGTACTCACATATAAAAAGACATTTACATAGGCCGTTTCACCACAAAACAAATGTGGCTGCATTTGGCATTCAAATAACACTATTAAACTTCAAGCATCGACTTTGTTTTTCTTCCTTTTGATTTACTTTGCACTGCTTCTAAGCTGTTGTTTATAGTTTGAGGTTTTCAGGAGAAGTCAGCTATAGTACCAGAAACAGTTGTTGTAGACTGATTTTACCATTTTAATAAAAAAAACAAAAAAAAAACACTATTTCTAAGTAAAATCTTTTTTGCCCCAGCACAGTTATATTGTAAAAACAGGCCTTAGGGTGAAAATCAAACCAGTGTGTGCTATTTGTTGTTAGCAGTGGTCTGACATCCAAACTCCACTCTTGCCTTTGAAAGTTGTGAAAAAATAAAATACTAGGAATGCGTCGGGAAGTGGGGAATACATTTGGATTGCTGCAAACAGTTTAAAGATCAAGCACAGAAACATGGCTCAAAGCTTTTAAGATTACTATCAAGAGGCAATTTTGTTAAGTAGTGAATCTGAGTACTTTGTTAGATTATAAAATGAACTTTTATTTGTTCCTAGCCCTTCCTAGCAACAAGACTCCTGTGTTTTAAATCTTGACAAAAGGTTGAACTCTGTTGTGTAGAAATTCAATACAGTTGTGGCTCTTCTTTAACCGTTTAACAGGTTGTGGACCTCTAAAGATGGTGTGTGTGAGATGAGGGTGTTGAGGGATGGAATTGTCTTCCTGTTTTCATCCGCTTTACACTGGTCTCTGGGGAAGGAGGGCTCAGGGCAGGAAGCGGGGCTATCAATTGGTAGATAAAAATGACAATCTGCCCCAGAGGAGGACACCGAGCCAATCAGTGAGGCGTGACTGCTTGCAATAACCTATATCGGCAAGGAAATGGGAAAACTTCCTACATAGAAATCAGTATTTATGAAAGTTTGGGTCTAAGATAAAAACTTGATATAAGATGAAATATGAGTGGTAGCATCTGCCTATTTTTATGATTCAGAGGAGCTTTCTCTTAAAAACACAAGTAGACAATAAATCCCCCCACTCAGTCATAACAGCCCATTAAAACACAGTAAAGAAAAAGTGGGGGAAGTTTGATAGGACGGTGTATGGATGGATGGTCAGGCGATAAAAAAAATACATCAGAAATGAAAGATGTATAGGATGACCAGATGGATGGCTGGATGAAAGAGGCAGGGAGCTAAAAGGATGACCCGGTGACCTGCGTGTGATATCTCATAAGTGCTGGGTCTGCCCGTGCTCCCGCTCTGATTGTAAAGCAGCAGGCAGGACCCGAGGGGGATGGGAGCACACTGACAACACGACATGGACACAGCCCACCACTACACAGCTGTAACACGGACACACTTTGTTCGGCACATGGCAGAAGGCGACGTGCCACAACCAAAATGCAACAGCCAAATGTCAGAAGAATCAATTCCACTGATCGAGTGTACAAGTTGGCGACAGTTACATCTGCCTCGATGCAATTGTTTAGTGCAGTGCCGGCCATGCATGAACCATTGATATTTGAGTCACACAGAGTTGGTTACAGCCTTAGAAAGAAGCCTTCAATCAAAAATAATCAATTTCCTCTATTATAGACACTTTGTGTGTTGGCATAAGCTACTTTAAATGATAAATGTCTTTTGGAAAATCACACAACCTTCGCATGTCTGTAGTGGAGCATAGAACCATTTTAAGGCTTTACATAAAAAATAGAGATCAACTGATTTTCATGGCTGATTGTTTAGAATCCAGAGAAACTGATGTCATATGAATTTAGTATAAATTCATCCGAGACTTATTTTACTACAACTGGATAAGAGTGACACTATATATTTGGAAGACTAAAGTCTTCCAAAAAAAGCTGTCTCGATAGGACAGATCATATCGAGGACAGCTGCCTGGGTGAAAATATCAAGCCGATATATCGTCTAGCTCTAAAAAAAAAAAAAACATCTTAAAACAGGAATGCAAACCAAGCATTTAAAACATTTTATTATGAATATCAGAATAGTTTGACTGACTGGATCAAAAATTTTCAGATTTACAAATGAATAATGACTTAAAGGCTAAATGAAAAATGTGTGGTATTTTGTGTCAATTTAATAATTTGAAAATGGAAACTGGAAATGCAAGGTCTTTCACTGCATTCTTTCTCATGGCAGAGACATTTCTACTTGAACTTTCACATGGCACTTCTCAGTGTTTATCTTTATGAAATAAGGATCAGAAGGTTATATTGACGCTGTGTAGCCTGTGATCTTTGGCTAAGTAGATACATTAGTATGTCTAACCTTTTCCCATTGATATGTTTGACACATTAAATCTATATTGTTTCTGGAGATAAAAGAATATCAGGTGAAATGGTATCCTACAGGCCTTGAAAGCAGATCAATACAAGAAAGCCATAAAAAAAATAAGATCTCAAAATGCCATCATAAAGAAAAAGGCAGTGTTAAATGGTCAGCCTTTAGTGGCAAGAAGCATTTAACGAGTTTAACTGGCAATTAAATATATAAAATTTGTAAATACTCAAAAAAATCTGTTTAGTCTTGAAATGAAAAATAACAAGTGGGAGGTTTTTGCAGGAAAATCAGCATCTGGCAGAGTTTAAGATATAATTGGAATCTGATTTGAGAAAGCATGTGTGTTACTACAGCAACAGCCTCAAAAACCTAACGACAGATGTTGTGAAGACACAAACAGATAAAGTGCAATGCTGTTGCAATGAATTTGTGATTGTAAATGTAAAATAACGTTTGCATGCTCAGCACCTCCATCTCAGATAACTAAGGGATAAACAGATAGCATTTACAACAGGTAGTAACTTGAGCTTTATGTTCAGGACTATGAACTGATTAAAGGGAGCTTTGTAGTATTGCCACATGCTTACAGAGTCACTGTTGTTAAACACATTTGGAGCCACAATCCCAAACGTACGGATACTCACACCTCAAGAAATAAGCTAATAAAGGCATGCTAGTACTTGTCATGTGGAAAACAGACCTGCAAGCAATTTTTGTGCAGCTAAGAAGCGTGTCTATTAGCAGTTCATTGCAGTAAGTATTTTAGTAGCCATTACAAAAGGCAAATCCCGGGGCTTTAAGGTTTATGCCCAGGCCTCAGAGCTGAAATAACAGCTCTCAGTTTATACGAGGTCATAAAGAACTGTAATGATACTGGGGAAATTAGTTTCCACGAAGGGGGCAAAGAGGCTAGAGCGGCAAGGAACTATAGCAGGAACAGTATGTGGGAAGCCAAAGAAAGCGAATAAAGATTACACCATTTGGAGAAAAGGAGAGACACAGGAGGAGAGGACAGCAGAAAAGGTGTATCTAGTTATAGACAGTTCGAATAGGTGTGTGGGAGAGAGAAGCGCAGGTTAATGATGCACTGTAAAATTAAGGCCTAGTTCAGCTGTCCTTCATTAGAGAAACAGCACAGCAAACTAACCACTCACACAAAGTCTACAGTCAATCTGTTCTTTATTAAGGAACAGCTGGGGGTGTATGACAGCTTGACTGGACACTGTCGTACTATAAACTCTGCCTGACCTTCATTAAACTGTTAAGTGCGCTGGTCGGCTTTAAATGGATGACCTAATCACAGCCATGTGAGTCTGAGGCGCAGTCAGTGAGCCGCTCTGACAGAGAAAATCACTTAGCAGCAACTTATGAAGTAGAGCAGGTAAGGCCCAGAACAGCTACATTCAAATGCTCTTTTAAATCTCACCCTCCACTTGTTATTGTGGATTTCCCCCCCAATTTCTCACACTGTCCAAAGATGTGAAAGGATAGGTCAGGCAAAATAGGGAATCTAGAAAAGGGTTTTCCATCAGTGTAGAGTCTTGAGAAAAGTCTGAGTCTCCAGATCTTGTGATAGTTTCATGAACAGTGGTTCCATACTGGAAGATTGTGTATGTTAAAAGGGGACATACTATGTAAAATCTATTTTAAACCATGTCACCAAGTTTTGTTTTGTTTTATTTTTTCTCATCTTTAGTTTACTCAGAATTGTATTCCATTTGATTCCTGCATGTCTGAGTTATTCTACATTGTCCTGCACATTTATGTTTTAAGATACCCCCTTGTCTATGCACTTACTTGCAAGTATTTAAAAAAAAATCATGTTACCAGGTCATAGAGTTTGAAAAATCATCAAAGTCATTTTTCAAGAATAAAAAGAAAAAGAAAATTCACCCATCACTCATATAGCTAGAATAAGATGAAAACTACCATAGTAGATGAGCAAATTTTGTTTTGTTAGCTCTGGAAAACAGTAACTGTACCAAGCAATAAATCATACGCATTGTCTAAAAATAGTTCAAACAGAAATGCCATCTTTGTTGCTGTTGAGCTCTGACATTATTGAAAATCAATTTTTTATTAATCATACTTGTGTATAAATTTTGGATTGGAAACTTGAGGCCTGCTGGACATGACTTATGTATTCAGCAAATAGTGGGGATAATTATTCACTCACGAGGTGATCAATACGGGTCTGTTTGTGTGTACGGGCGCCTCTGTGTGTTTTAAAATACCTTTAACAGCCTCGTCTACGACTTCCACCACTCGATCAATCTGCTGGACCTGGAACACAGACACATGGGAGAGGTGTATTGATGCTGCTGTCCCTATACCCAAACCAAACTCTGATATTGACAAAGTACAACACTGATTTAAACAGGAGGGGCTTGTAAACACACTCCAATACAGATGAATAAGGACACGGACAAGTTTTTTCCTCCATCAGGCTTAAGTGATACTGATTTCCTAAATGTCACTGTGAATCTATATTAGGAAATACATTAAAAAGTGGAGGCAGAGTGACAAGAAAGGCTTAAAACAGATAAATGGATAAGCATATGAAAAAATACAGGCGCAGGAGAGCCAACATTGGAAAATTGACACTTCAAGTATTTCTTTGGAGTTTCACTTTCAAACTGGGTCAACAGAAGAGAACATAGAAGTTTATTTTTATTACCTTTAGCTATAGTAAAATTGAACACAGAATGAATTAAGCTAACTTAGATGTACAATTAATTTTTAAATAAAGAGTACACATTTTAAACACATCCACGAGCAATAACATCATGGAAAACACCCAAATATAAAGTGTTACTACTAAGTAACACAAGACTTCAGTGCAGTTCATGTTTGTAGAGGTTTGAAACAGAATATCCAGATAGTAATCAATACTAAAATGATATTAAAACTAGATTCATTTGAAGTATAGACAAAAAAAGCACATTTCCTGAATAGTTTTATTACGATTTTGATCTTAATCATTACTAGTACAGGCCACATGGTATAAGAAACTACAATAATTCTGTGTTAAAAATGACCCTCTATAGCATAAACCAGTGTAATTACTGTTGTATAGAAATCTCCTTCTAATCTAAAGTGTTAGTAGATTTTATACATAGATCTTCATGGAGAGAAAATAGTATCTAGGTCTTTGCAGAGGACATGACGTCTCCAAAACACCTGCAGAATTGGCAATAGTGACCATTCACTTGTGATTTCAAATTGATTGCGATGAATCACTTTGTAACTCTAATATATTCCCTGCCCCACCAGACCAAAGGCATATAGAAGAGCATATTGCTTAGAGGGTTGTTAGTGCATAGTCTCATGTGCATCAGTGCTTCTTCCTCAGCATTGAGCCTGTGAGTACCTCTCCAGTCCATCTAAACATACAGGATGTGACATGTCTGGTGCAGATGGAGCAGGGTTGCTGAGGTTTGCGTGACTGCCTGTGTACCTTACTACAATACACTGTCATTCATTTTACTGAACTTCAGACAGAACACAACAGACAGAGACTCGTACAAAGGCAGGCTCACAGCACAGGACATTGAACTGAATGGATTCAACAGGAAACATTTTCTCCCAGCTCAGCCCTTAACTAGCCGTTAGTGCAATCGCTTTATACAAATTCATGACTGGTTGTTTGCATATCATTTGCATAACCCACCAACTGTCAGTGTCATTGTGTTGGTTGATTGTAACTAGCAGGGACGCACAACAGCAGTGCATGCATCTGTCTGTGTTTGTCACAATGCGTGTCTTATCATGCATGGCTCTATCAGTGTTTGAGCTGGTGCAAGTTGTATCAATGCATAATCCAATCTACTCATGACAATGAAAGCACTGGCGGTGGTAAACTTCCCAGCTGTTTCTACTCACCCAAAGGCGATTGCATCTCCACGCCTGCTTATGTGGATGTAATTATATTACTCATACATGCTACTTCATTTGAATCTAATTACGCTTTACTATGGAATGTTTACTTAAATAGAATAAGATTATTTATGTCGACGGATATTTAACATCCCCAACACCGCTTACCAGGTACATTCATTAACACTAGTATCTTATAGGTTAGGTTTAGAATAACAATGAGTTTCCCCCAATATACGTGGTAGATTCCATTTCTAAAAATATATAATTAAAAACGTATGCTTTAAATATATGTTAATATACACTTTTTGATTGACAGATTTTCTGACTGTTATATCTCTGATTAGATAAAACATGCCTGTAAATGTCTTGGTGAGGTTAAAGGATTGACCAAAATGTGAACAGTGTGTTAAATTGTTCACAAAGGTGTCGATGTATTACTTCATACACCAGCAAAAAATAAAAATAAAAAAACAACAAACACAACAATAAAATACATATAAATACAACACTTGTAATTTTCTTATTTACACCAGATCAACAGTAGAGATATTATAAATTCCACATATCTTATACATACCCCACTAGAACCTCAATGGAGACTGCTGGCTTTCAACGAGCAAATAATAGGATGATAAGATATTGGTCTTGAGAAACCCCTATATATATTACATATTGATCCAAAAGTTTGTGGTTAGTATTCCTAGTACAGAAATCTAGTTTTTCAATCCATGTTTTTCTATTTATTCTCTTGGACCTACTGTCTTATCTTGAGGCTTATTGTTGGAATACTTTGTACAACTGTGGCCGACTCCTCTCCACTAAAACTTGCACACCAAACTGTGTTCATTTTAGTGGTCTTGTTCAAGTCTCGGAGGGAGCTGTATTGATCGGCCTCACAGCTGGAAGGCTAGAACAGAACAAATGCAGCAGGCAGGCAGCCAGGTGAATGACAGGTCAAACTGAGCGTGTGTGTATGTGTGAGACTCGGCTTCAGTCAGCATCAACTAATGGGCATACCTCAACAATACACCACTGTACACATCCAATTATCGTCTGTTAGCTGAAATGGCTGAATATTGAAAAATGCATACCCCTATGATGCTGAGTCCCTTGAGGTAGTCCATTCTTGGCTGAGCTTGGGGTACACAACCTGCCACCACCACCTTCTTTTGTTGTTCTTGGGCCTTTCTGTAAAAACAAAGGGAAAGAGGAACAGAATTAGTTTGTTGGCTAAGAGTGATTTAGTGTTTGCAAAACAAAGATCCACCGTCAAAACTGTGAAAAATCACAGTGTTGACGGCCCAAACACAGGGCACATTAAAGCCATGTTAAACACGTTGCAGTGCCATTCAGAAGATGATTTAAAGCCTGAGCTGACTGTTGAGAATGTATCTACCAAGAGCGTGCGTGTGTGTGTGCCTCTAAGTGCATAGGTCTGTGTGAATCTTCATGTCACCTCCACTTAAGGCCTCTGTGATTTGAGACACTTGGTTAGTCTGACAAAAGCTTTTGGAAGAGCTGCCCACAGTGAACCATGAATCTTTAATAATGAAGCCTCCTGACAGCTGGAGCTAGATAGAATACAAGAGGAAAACTAAAGGGAGGGGAGAGAGGAGTGAGCGAGAAAACTAGATGCAAACTGTCATATGTGTTATATTTCCGATTGTGTTTATGTATTTCAGCAAAACAGAGACAGGATGCGGAGTCAGAGAAAGAAAGCAAAGAAGATGGACGCTGGCCATTAATATGCAACTAAGGAACAACCTAGAAGAAAACACACCAACACGTAGAAAGTAGCATCACACCAATCTTTTATAGTGAGAAAAGCTTTCTTATTTTCTCCTTTGCTTTGCTCTCCTTTAATTTGTTTTAAAAATAGACCTTATATGCTGCCATTTATTTTCTTGTTAGAGGCAAAGGGAATGCAAAAAGCTTAGCCTAAATTTAAGATAAAAACACTTTAATCTATCAGAAAATTACTTAAAAATAGTGAAATTATCTGTCCGTGCTCTAGACTAGAATCAAGCAGGCTAAGAACTAGTAAGTTGATAATAAATCTGAAAACAAGATGAATAACTTGATATAAGTTTTAAAATCTTGGCCAGATCAGAAAAAATTGCAGAGTTAACAATATATCCCAACTTCACCATATTTTATTATCACAATATCAACAATGCATTGCAAAGGCTGTTTTATAAATCATACATAAATCAAGTTATTTAGTAAAACTCTGTACTACATTCTCCTGTTGCTTAATTATACCAAAAAAAATACAATTCAATGTCCTTACTATTCAGAACAAAATGTATTTTTAATAGACAATTTTTGTAATTAATTGGTGGAAACCACAATAAAATCGCATAGTCCTACTAACAAAAAGGCATTACAAAAAGAAACTCCCTTAAATTTAATTTTCCCAAATGGTATAGACCTTTAACTTTCATTTCACCAATCCGCCAAGTGAGAAAAGTAGAGTTTGTTTTATCCACACTGGCGCTCCTCAGCACACATACAGTAGGCTTCTGACACACAGCTGCACAGTAGGGGTGCGTCTGCATAATTCACAGTCTCCTGCCAAAAAGCGCCAAACGCTCCTTTAATGCGCTGCTCCCCGCCCACAGACTTGGAGCTGACACAGCGAGTAAGCAGACAGCGCCTGAGCCCGAGTCGTCTGAGCGCCCCAGGGGAAACGGGCCAATCACGTCGCACATGCTTCCTGGATGGGACGAGATGGAATGGGATTATGTGATGCAGTTGCCGTGGTGATACTTTTGAGGCCGACCACGCACTCGCCGCCAGTGACCCGGACCGGAGCAGATGTCCCTGGAGATCGGGGGCAGAGCTTGTATGTGTGCGTGTACAAGTCTGCGTGTTTCTTGGCTTTCTTGGCACCTTGCCCTAAATCTCCCCAGCCCCCTGTCAACTTTGTGTTATGACTCGCCATAGCCTCCAGACCACACATATGTACCCACTGACAGGGTCCAAACACCCACATGGCCTGCATAGATTCCTATAGAAGATAGAGCAACAGCGCGGCCCGCTCCATGCATACATGTATGACCTCTGCGCAGTGAATGTATGGTCGGGAGGGCTGCGCTGTACATCCTGGTTTTTAACAGCTCAGTGGACACAGCGAATCAGTCAAATGAGAGCAGACTAAATGTCCAACTCAATTGATCAGGCCGAATGGAATGAGGCCCCGGCAGTAAATATGACATTAAAATAAGCACGGGGCATGACCTATTTACAGCCCCATTTCAACTTTCTCACAACTCATCTTTAAAGGAAGAGACTTCTCCTACTGAGATTATAGCAACTTATTAATAAGTACACACACACACACACGCACACGCACGCACACGCACACACACACACACACACAGGAGGCAATATCAACTACACAACACACACAAGAGAAAGAAAATCATTATTGATGACAATGTAGAATAATATAGACAAGATTGGAAAAATGTACCCTTGCACTGTAACTGTGATTATTATGGAATACTGCCAATCAATGGATGCAATAACCTACATTACCAGTTTTTCTCAACCTGTGGTACTTGAGAAACTGGTCTACATTAGATTAGGAAAAAATTCAACAGCAGCCTAAAAAGATGGATTTTTGCTGGTGAAGTTAAATCTAAAATGTGTCAATCCCAAGACACATTTTTGAAGAGATGCGCCACTCTAGACCCACTGGTCCAAACTGTGCAGCCAAAACAAAACTTCCTGAAGACCTAAGGCCGAGTGGCTCATCTGCTCAAGCGTGTGTCACATGAACCGCAGAAACCCTGGATCGATTCCCAACTCTGCTCCATGTCACTCACCTGTCTCTCTGCTTCACTGTCTCAACAAAAAATACAACCAAAATGGGATAAATTGCAAAAGAACAATGCTTTTGCTCCTACTGAGAATGAGTCATGATCACTAGTTTTGCATAGTTTCATATTTGATCATAATTTACCTGAGATACTTTAAAAGGGGTAAATTTAAATAAGATTGAGATCAAATGGATTTTAAAATCATATCAGGCCATAACATTTGATTAGAGCAATATTGCTACATTCTCAGATTAATAAACAACACCACTCCACATTTCTAAATAAATGGCTTATAGCTGAGGTCATTAATATTTCCTGAGGGTCTGATGTTAACATAGGCACTGCTCTGTCTGAAGCTCTGTTACTCAAGTTAGACTTTATATTTAGACCAGAAAGAGCTGATTGTGAGCTGATTTGTGCTGCTTCTTAAATAACATTACAGTCGAAGCATTACAGTCACAAGTTAGCTAGCATTCACCAAGTGTTTTTCAGTTAGTCATTCTCCCTTTATATATACAAATAACATAAATAATACACCTATACTAGACAGGCTCCTAAAAATGTGTTGTTTAAATCCATGTTTGTATTTTTTGCCTGTTTGCTAATGTGTGCATTATGATAACTGCTGAACATATCACCATAGAGATACATGTAGCACCTCCAGTATGATGTCACCCCAAAGTATCAATTCAATAGTAAAAGTTGAGCTGTAGTCTGGCGCCGAGGTTTGCGTCTCTCAGAGTGTCCTCTTAGTGACTCCTCCTGCTGTTGCGCTCTATGGCTATATGGCTAGCTGCATGCAGGAAGTGGATGAGCTCATTAGACTCTCAGAGGCTGCCATATGCTACTTAGCAAACACACAGCTCAAAGGATGAGGTCATACTAATAAAGGATAATGTTATGATGCTGGGAACTACATACTGATGCAGTCTGCTCATAACTTGGGCAGCAACAATGTTAAATAAACAAAGGCACAAATCAAACCATTATGTTTATTTATTTGATATTAAGGTTTAGTATCTGCAGAGTGATACTGAGCGGATACACCCAAACAAATATATTCGTTGGTCATGCCATTAGGGCTTTTGAGTTTCAAAACTAGCTCATTTTGTGCATCACCTAGTCTGGATTTATCCATATGAAACAGAAATGGGCACAAACTTAAAAATCTCCAGCGCCATTTGGGAAAAGTAAGATGCAACCTTTGTGGATTTCCTTTTCTCAGATGTACTTAACCTATACAATATAAAAGGCCTTCCTCCGCATTTTTAGATTATACTAAATATAATACTTTATATTATACTAAATATAATACTTTAATTTAACAGTCTGAAAATATCATTAAAACAAAACAATCATTTTAAGAAGTAAGATGATAAAACACCTTCCTCTGCAGCATATGATTAATCTCTTGGGAGTAGGCCTTTGTCTTTGTCTCCAGGATCGTCACATCTGCATTCCAGCAGCTGTTTCTGGCTGAGTTGACAATGAGCCAGCCAATCATACTCCTGACCTCCCAGCATTAGCAGGAGCACCCAGGGCCAAGGTTAAGTACCCATCAAGCCTCAGTAATTAAGATGTGGTTAATGCTGTGAGGTGGTGTGTGCTAGTGTGTGTCACTGTCCAGGAGATTTGTCTGATTCACACTAGTTTGAACTTCAAAAGGTCCACATTTGTCTGCTTGTAGTTTAGTGTTGATCATGCATAACAGTTACAAGGGGTTATTGTTATTACACTGGAGCGTCTGATGATGTCTTATTTTTCCATTATTTGTATTTATGCAAAATTTCCTCATGGAAGAATCATTTCACATGAAGATAAAAAATAACACTGGCATACAATACCAACTGTCTACAGTAGTTTCTCCTGCTAGACAGTGTTCGTACATTATACAGAAGGTGTTGAATTCTAACAACAACAGCTGAGTACAGACCTTGAGACCTGATTGACAGTATAGCTGCAATGTAATAAAAATACTTGTATCTCCACTGTGAATAAACAGACAAGTTTATGAAAACCTCTCTCAAAAAAGAAATACATAAAACAGTGAACTCTGCATCTAGGGATCGAACTGCAGACAAACAAAATGAATACAGTTAATGTACGGGGCTGTGGGCCTCAGGAGCCACTGCAAAAAGGAGAGAAGTGAGTGACAGCAAACTGTCAAAAGAACATCTTTATAAAAAGGATGAAAAATAGGCATTGAGCCGACGGCGCGTCAAACAGATAGGGGCCAGGATAAAAGAAGGAAACACAATCCAGAATACTACCCAGCGAGTCTCCAGGTACCAGCACTCCCCCACGCCCATCACATCTTTTCACTCAATGCGATGGAGCATTTCTGTTTATCAAGAAAGTGACAGC